TCTAATGCATCTCATTGACCATTCCACCTAACTTTGAATCAATCTTAATACCACCTATAACCCCAACCCCCCAAAAAAATCAACAATAAAAGATAATAGTAATAATTTTTGACAGTTGTAAGAAATCAAATACTCGGAAGAAAGTCACCCGGTGCCATTCAGGAACTCAAGAGGTCAGCAAATTAAACCCGATATGAATTTAAAGTTATTTTGTGATTATTTACAACAATTAGAATTTTTGAGGGAGTTATAAGGCATTAATTGTTGGTCCAGGAATCAAAAAGAGCTATTTGGACTATATTTACTTTGTTTCTGTTGTAAAATAAGGATGTATGCTTTTGACAATCGCAGACTAATCGTATTTCTATACTTCCTTTTCTCAGATTTTTCCTCTCAATAAGATAGACGAAGAGTGATACAAGAAAGGGGAATACTAGAATCTCTTCTGTTATTGCAAGGTGCAGGGGAACACATCTGAGAGAGTATTCTGAGCTGACATCATAGATATCTGATGATAACTGGGAGAAGTATGCAAGAAAATCTATATGCGAATTCCTGTCATAATTGAACTCAATGGTAAGCTGGTTGATCATTTTATAGTGCTATCTTTCCTTGCTATATTTCTTTTATTTAGTTTCAACGGATTTATTTTTAATAATTGTTATAGAATTCACTTTCCTATGTTAAATAGAATTCACTTTCCTGTGTTTGATTAGAATTCACTTTTCTATGTTGAATAAGAATTCACCTTTCTATGTTAAGTAGAATTCACTTTTCTATGTTAAGTAGAATTCACTTTTCTATGTCAAATAAAATTCACTTTTCTATGTTAAATAATATTCACTTTTCTGTGTTAGATAGAATTCACTTTTCTATGTTAATTAAATCTGTTTTATCAAGAGTCTCATTTTTGAAGGGTTAGATTGGGCTTCTTTTAAGGTAATTATAGTATTTTTAAATAGATAACTTTTTTTTCCTTTTTTTTGTTATATAATTTGTTGGTGATAGAATTTATGATTCTACTGATATGCAATTCTAAGCATGTTATAACAGAATGATAGTTATGCATTGTAGTGTAAATAATATCCATATTCATATCTTTTACTGTATCTAGCACAGTTGTTAGGAAGATTAGAATATACCAGGGACATTATGGAGTAAAAAATACAGATTTTTGTTTATCTTTTTTAAGGGCATGAGTAGGTTAACAAAATAAAGTGATGGAGATTACAACTTGCCTTTTCTTTTTTTGCAGTTTTAAAACCATGCCACGCTTCAGACTCTTATCAATGGGCACCGGAAGACGAGGAAGATTTAAGAGGTAGGAGGCAACAGATGAACAGTTGTACTAAATTAATTATCTATTTTTCTTAATCTACCGTAAATTGTCCATTAATTTGTACATTTTTTGATAATGAAATAGAAAAGAAAGTTGCTTCATAAGGTGCTATTAAAATGAATAAGATGAAATGAATATGTTCTTTTTTTATGAACTATTTGTTAGACTGTTTTAACTGTC